TAGAAATTTATTACAAAAGTAAAAATTAGTGCTAACTAGCGATTCTGATTCTAAAGCCAAACAAATAAATTCCAATTTAAAAACTAAACAAGTAGATTCAAATACTAAAATTTTTTAAATGATGATTAAAATGGAATATCAAAAAGACAAAAAACTAAAAAAAAAAAAAAAAAACCAACAGGAAATCAAAGAGCTTGTTAAGATTACACCTAAAGATGACAGGCAAGATATTGGATATCAACAGGTTTTTTGACAAGGACCATTGATGCTTCTCCCCCCAAAACAGCTCTGCCTTTGCAATAAACTAAGGAGCCTGTTTGGGAAGATCAATGGCCCCTTAAAAAAGAAAAGCTAACTCAATTACACAAATTAGTTAAAAAAAAAATTACAACAAGGTCATTTAAAAAGCTCAGTTAGCCCTTAAAATGCTCATGTCTTTGTTATTCCAAAGAAGTCAGGCAAGTAGAGGTTGTTATAGGATTTAAGAGCTATAAAGGCCTCCTTACTTCCTATAGAGGCACTACAGCCAGGACTGTCAAATCCTACTACAGTTCCTAGAGACTGGCCTCTCATCATAGTTGATTTGAAAGATTGCTTTTTTAACATTCTTATTTTTCCCACAGATAGATCAAGTTTTGCCTTTTCCATACTTAATTTAAACTTAAAAAGATCAATACAGCCAATAATGTGAAAACGAGGTTATGCTTGTGTCTTAACAGGTAAAAGATCCACAAGATATACACAACATTGGTGAGAGACACAACCAATGCTGAGGACAGCCTTAGGTGATGGCTCCACCAACCTGGACCCAGAGACCTGTCAATCAGCCAAAAAATTGACCTCCAGTTCCCCCAAGAGACCAAGAAAAAAGACAAGTGGTCCAGTGAAATCCAAGCAATGATCCATGAAGCTAGAGATATAATCACCAAAAGGGAGATTCCACCAACCCCTAAAAATTTTTTGGTTGCCTTAATGGTGCTGCTGGCAATATCTGTATATATGACACCTGTCTCAGGAGTAGAGTAATAGACTTATGTCCCTAATCCACCATTACTCAGACACATTACTTGGACAGATTCTCTACCTGATTTATCATAAACTAGAGTTAACTTCTTAAATTGTGCCATTACAAGGCCACTCATTTCTACATAACTCCCTTGCTTTATAACAAATCTATACATCCTTAGGAGGATGTAAAAAACATATACAAGGAGCTATCCATCAAAATGTTACTATAGATATTAATGCACTCCAAAAGGAGGTTTTGTCAATGTCCCAACAAACCCAAAAATTGGGCAAACAAGTTCAAGATTGGGACAAAGTTTCTGATGCTTTAGATCAATTAAATCCATTCAACTATCTAAAGACACATTTCTGGCTTTATGTTGGTATTCTTGGAGTAATCTGTGTGGTGTTTCTCCTTATTCTATTCATAGTCTGTCAAAGAAGAGCCAAGAGGGGCCTGCCGACTCCTAGACAATATTCAACCATACCTCACCCTGATCCAGCTGTTACAAAACAAAAGGGAGGAGATGTTGGAGATGACTACGAAGCAGTTCTGAGCAGGATTTAAATTTTATTAATTGGCTTTCTATGTCTATCTGTGAGTCTGTCCTAGGCCTAGGCCCCTTGCCTGGCAATGGGAGCTGATTCATAGTAAGTGAACCTCCATAAATCACTGGTCCTAGCTGAGACCTGTATTGGCCTGTGAGGCCAGAGATACCTCAAAGGGCAAGATAAGGCCACAGCTGAGGACACTCTGGCTCCAACCCCAATTAACAAGATAGAGACTACAGCTACAAAGATTACTCCTGCACTTTCACTTCTACCACGTCTTCATGATAAAACAGTGCTACTAAATTAACTTGATTCATGACTTGGAGAGATCCTTGAAGTGACTCTCAAGGTCCTGCTCATTGTCTGCACTTTCCTCAGTTTCTCCACCCTTTGTCCTTGGTCCTAATATAAGTGGACTGATCCAGAAAAATCCTTGGTCTTTACCCTTGAAGCCTCAAGCTTAAATAAAGTGTTTTGACCCTCCTGGAGCCCTAAAAATCATACCATTTATCTCTTTTTATTTAACCTCCGCTGTACACTCGTTTGAGAGATCAGAGATCTAGGACAAAACCCAATACTATTTCTTTAGGTTTCTAAAAATTTCACCAATTACTTTCTAACTATTTTTGTGTGGTACCTTGTGAAGACTCTCCCTCAGGACCAAAATGCAGACTTTCCTTGTTTAATGCCTGTTCTTACAGCCTACTGCTTGCACTTATGACCCAACTTTTTTTTGGTACAGTTTTGTACCTCTTTTTAATAGAGCCTCAATGTCTTTATTTTTTGAATAGTGTACTTGGTTTATTCAATACTTTAATTTTTACTGATTTTACTGTAAAGTACTGTAGCTTTATGTTCTGTTATATATTCCAGTACTGCATGTAAGAGCTATACAAATAAAGCTAATTCACCAAGCTGGTTTCCTTTTACCATGTCTTTGATCTGAATATTACAATATACATGCCATATATAATTTCTCACTTAATGACCAATTCAATGAATGGCCTAGGCATAAGACTGTAAGTTGATTATTAAATGAGAAATATCATACTTCTCTTGCCAGGGATATTATATTCTCAGAGCTCACAGCTTGGTTGTTCACTAAGAACTACCATTGGAAGAATACTATGGCTTGCTTAAGATTATTGATCCTCTTAAGGTGAAGTCCACATCTAATTGCTCCTTGACATGCATGTATAAAGTCTGTCTTCAGGTCAGGACACATCTGAAGGGCTTTTATACCTCCAGGTTTCACTCAAGGATTTGGCCGAAGCCACTGCTGAAAGTGGATCAATTTCAGCTTCTCCCCCTGTCCAGGGCTGGCTTCTTTATTCTCTCACAAAGTCTATTCCTTCTATCAAATCCAAATCTCTCTAAATCTCTGTGTTTTTCAGTTCTGAAGAGTATCTCCTGTGATCCTCATCTCTGGTATTCATGACTTTGTAAACTGAGTCATAGTGGGTGACATAAACAGTGAAACAGAGAAACAGTGACATAAAATTTCTGAAACTATGTTATAAATGGTGATGCAGTTCTACCTTTTTCTCTTGGATTTTCCACAGTGGGAGAAGTGTGTTACCAGATAGTGAGGATTTCATGTAGACCTATGCAAAATCCAACATGGAGAGGAAAACACAGCCAGCATCAATTTGCCAGCTTTATAAAGAAACCTTAGGGACAGATCCCTCAGTCAAACTTTGCAAAGTTAGTCAGTAGATGACTACATCTCATAACAGAACCTGACCTCAAATGTACCAACCAAGCTACAAAAGAATTCTTGACTTGCAGAAACTATTAGACAATAAATTATTTTTTCTCTAATCTAATGAGTTGTAGGTTATTTATTTATTTCAGAGTAGTAGATAAATACAGAATTTGATGACTGAATATGGGTACTACCATAACACAAAAACTCTGAAAATATGGTGATCATTTTGGGACAAGTTGGTGGGAAAAGCTGAAAAGAACTTGGGAAGGTTATTAGTGAAACCTAAATACCATTTGAGACAGTTAATGGAAGTTTGATGGTGTTCATTGAGGACAGAAGAGTGAGAAATTAAAGAAAAGGTGAAGAAAATGTTATTGGAAGCTGGAAAAAAGAGGACATCTATTACAGACTGCTGGAACACATCAATATTGTTGCCTGAGGTAGCACGGAAAATTTAAAATATGCCTACTAAACTGGAAGAAATTGTTAAGAGGATTTCAAGCTGGAGTTTTAAATGTATTGCCTGGCTTCTCTTTACTGTGCATAGTAAAATATAAGCACATGGAGATAAGCTAAAGGAAGAACTGCAAAGGATAAAAAGTCCAGGATGTGCTAGCTTTGAAATTAAAATCATTTCTTATTCCAAGACTTTACAGATGGCAAACAATGCTAAAATTAAGATGGCTTTCAGGCATATATCAATCTAGGGCACTCAGTAAAAGCATGAACTGAAGATGAAACAGATGGCGTAACTGTAAAATTCTTTGCAAAGAGCTTAGAAAAAAACTAAAGCAATGGCTCAGGGAACTGGTGAGGAAAAAGCCCCAAAACAATGTGAAGGATGTGCTCCGTAGACCTTCTTTTCAAGTAATAAACTTTCTAAGCATCTTGGAGATGAACTTCAACTGCTCCAGAATCTGCCTGAAATTGAGATGGGCTTCCAGAGAAGGCATTTGTAAGTGCGGGTTTAACAGATGGAGTAAACTCCAATAAGATTCGTAAGATACTCATTGATTAAAAAAACTGTACCAGTGCCCAGTATATGAACTGAAAGGGATCAGAACAATACAATATGATGACAAGAGGTTTGTGTCAGTTGTTTTTCTCATTGCCAAGACAAAATGCCCAACACTCAAAGTTAAAGGGGAAAAGATTTGTCTTACAGTTTGTAGAAGGTTTCAGTCCATAACTGGCTGGCTCTAAAGCAGGGTGGCACTACAGACAGAGGAGAAATATTCACAGTGGGCAGAAGGTAGCCAAACAACAAGGAACCTTAACAGTGTCTTTCTGCTCCTTTTATTATTTATCTATGCTCCAGATTCAGGTGGTGCCATACAAATCAGTGGACTTATTTAGTGGACACATCCTTGATCCCAGCATTGCACCACAAATCAGTCCCACACACTAGCTCCAACCACCTCCGAAAAAGCTTTATCAGTGAAAGCACGAGGTTTTTGGTGAGTGCAGGGGACATCAAATACAAGCCATAAATTCTCATATTTCTAGAGTCAGAAAGAAAGCTGAGATAAACTCCTTAGTTGAAAATATAGACTTCCATTTGTGAAACAGGAAAAGTTATTTAAAAGTAGAATCAAAAGTCCAGAAAATGAAATCAAGTGCCCTGGAGAATCACTACTGGGAAGTAATTAGATTTAGATTTAATAAACTATGCCTAGATAGATTTTTCTATCTGCCATACACACACACACACACACACACACACACACACACATTTTAAGGGAGAGCACAAACACAGTCCCTCACTACCACAAATTTATGCAGTTAAGTTTCCCACATTTAGGGAAATAGCAGGGGTCAGCACATCCGAAGTGCAAAGGATAAGCCTCACCCTGAGCAAAATACCTTCTTGATCAAGGTATCTCTCTTGCCAGGTAAGTATCTTTTTCATACTTTTTAATGGGAGAGTCTATAGTTGTTAGCACATACTTGCCTTACTATTGTAATTTGGGTATCTGGGGAGTATGAAACTTGCCTCATTTAGTCCACAAGTATTCAGATTAGGAGAAATTATTCTAGAAGTTATCTCAAGGAATCAAAACCAAGGAGCCTCACTGCATTTGCCTCCTACAAAGAATGTGCTAGATTTGAAATTAAAAGCATTACCATTCCAAGACTTTACAGATGGAAAATCCAAGTTCAAAAGGAGTGTTGCAGTTTTGGTAAAATCAGTACCCCTGGCTTGACCCCAATTCTTGGTTGTGAACATACATGAGAAACATTAGTCCTCTTAGAGAATATAAGGCCATGTAGAAGGAACTTCTGTTTTGGGCCCTAACAAATAAAGTGAGCAAAATGTATAAAACTATTGCTTTCAGATATTGTAATTAGATTGTGGTCTTGAGGGAAAATAAATGATGTAATCCTTAGCATTTTCCAGCTTTTTGCCTGAAAGCACTTTCCAGACTCTGTTACAGGGAAGAGAAACTCAATGAAATATGCCAGGACTGCTGAATACAGGAAGAAATAAATTGGAGTTTGGGAAAACTGAGGCTGCTGGCAATTGCAGAACAAAGTTCTAGAGAAGAAGAGACAAAACAAAAAAGTTCATACATCTGCAGTTTCTTGTAAGATCTTAGGAATAATAAACTAAATATATATAGGAGGTGAAACTCCACAGAAATAGGACAGTTTGTAGAAACCATTCTACAAACTGAATGATCCTCAGAGCACATATAAGACTGCAAGATATGTCATTCCAATCTTTCAGAGTGAAAAATCCAATTGAGTTCAATAGAGACCCCCCGGAATGCAGTAGAAACCTCAAACTTATCATGTCTTAGTATGGCTAAATTGTCGGGAGCCATTGAAATTGGAAATTGAACACATGTGCAGGACTGCAGCATGGCTGGGGTATGGCCAACCCAAGAACAAAGAGATGCCTCAAAGGGCAAGAAAAAGTCACACCTGGCTCCAACTTCATTAGCTAAAGACTGTAGCTACAAGCATTTCACTCCTGCAGTGAAATGCAACATGGAGATCTTCTCCTAAGATACTTCTCTGAAATTAACACAAGATAGTTCTCCTAAAATAAACGTAATCTGTTATTTGGAAAAGTCCTTGAACCACTCTCAAAATCTATTCAATTTCCCGCTTTTTCTACTTTATCACCTTCCTGTTTGGAAAAAAAAAAACATACGGGCTACCCAACAGCGTTCCTTGTCTTAGCCACCAGGCTCAAATTCTGCAGGGGGATTAGATCCTCCTGGAGCCCTAAAATCATACCCCTTCACCATACACTTATTTGAGAGATTTGGGATCTTGGCCATGTCCCCAATACTAAATCAGCCCCAGAGTAAGGTTGACTTTACACTACTCTTAAGAAAAATTTAAAAGAAAGATAAAAAATGGCCAAGCTGGCCAGCAAGTAAGTTAACTACTTCCAAAACAAAATTTAGCATGCTTTAAAGAAATACAAGGAAATTCAGACACTTAAAAATTTTTAACAGCACACAGTACACAGACGAATTTGAATAGCTAGAAGAATAATCATTAGAAACAGATTTGAAAATAAAAGAAATGATAGGATTATTAGATCAAGGCCTCTTACAAATAAATACTCAAGGACATCAAATGTAAACATAATAAACAGAGAAACAGAAGTTATATAAAAGGTACTGAATTTATCTATTAGACCTGAAAAGTACAATATGTAAAATCAAAACTCACTGAACATATTAAATGATTAGATATTGTAGTGAACTTCAAGACTTATCTATATAAATCATGCAATCATAGGGAGGGAAAAGTATGGAAAAAGAAAAACATGAATCCTAGTGAACTGTAGGACAATATCAATCAGCAACATTTATAATGTTGCATAAACATCTATGTAATGCAAATCACAGAAAAGAGAAAGGATGCAAAGAAAAACTTGAAGACGTAACAGTTGAAATTCTTTCAAATTTGACAAAAACTATAAATACACCCTCATTTTCAGAGAGAGCTGTGAATTAGATCAAATAGAGACAAAAATCCATGTAGTGGAAAGGCAAAGCTTTATCATATTGCACCTTATTGATTTATTGTCTCCAAAACCAAATTCATCCTGTAGTATGCTCTCTGTATGAATAAGCTGGAATTTTTATGAGGATTTTTCCCATACAGTGACCATATTATTAAGCTTTGTCAGTAGCAGGTGCTGAGGGAGATTGCAAATTGAAAGAGGACTTCTCCTGCTGGTTGAGTTTGCTTCTATTTTGTTTCTTCTAACTGCAATCATGCAGCCTATGCTGGCCATGTGTGCAAGTATCTCATAGAGCACTGCCCCTGTTATAAGTGCCAGCACACTGTCCCCTAGGACCTTGCAGCTCCAGCAGGCACTGGAATGCCAGCCTCCAACATACAACTCCCCATCCACGTTTGTATTTCATTTGGGCCTTTGTCCTTGGTCCCAGGGAATCCTTTAAATGCTTATCAGTCAGGAAGTCTTCCTTTGTCTTTGCCTTGTGACAGATTGAGCTTAATGTGTCTGTGGAACTCTTCAAATTTATCCTACATTAAATTTTAGACATTTTCTTGCCATAATTTCTTCAAGTATCCTTTCTATCACTCACACCTCACCCTCCTGGAAGACCCACTGTGCCTGTGTTGGTATGCGTGATGGTGTCCCATGAGTTTCTAAGACTCGCTTCATTTTTCTATATTATTTTATCCTTTGGTCTGCTCAAGCAAACAGACCTCATTTCTTCCACCACTGTTTGATAATTTTTTTTTTGTTTTTGTAATGCAAACCGAACTCATGACCTTGTGCTTGTCAGGCAGGCACTTATGCCACTGAGCTAAATCCCTGATCCCATTCTTTGATAATTTTTTTAAATATGATTTTTGCTATATATTTGGCCTTTGCTAGCTGTTACAGCAGAATGGTTGGATTGATGTGACGGACTTGTGAAAGTTTTAAAACTTTTTACTTCCCATATATCTATTCTCTCCTTCATTCATACTGAAGGAAATATCAACTGTTAGATAGATACACGGGTGCCCAGAATAAAGACTGCACTCTTAAACTGTGTGGTGAAGTAGGGCTATTTTCTACCCACTGGGATAAGGAGAAATTGGGAGCATAACTTCATGGTTCCATCTTGGAAGAGATCTAATCTCCACTTCTTCTCTTCTTCCATCTAGTTGGAATATACACGTGGAGGTGTGTTACCTTGTGGCATCTGGACAAAGGTATCTTCTTGGGAAAAAATGAGAAAAAGGGATAAACTGATATGATAACCATTACACTAAAATATGGGTTGACAAAATATCTCTCTTGGGTGGAATTTACCCCAACGTCTGTTTTCATAAGTAGTTTCTATGGGAACACGATCAAGGCCATCTGTTTGCATGCTGTCTGGGGTCACTTTCACACTGCTGCGGTGCAGCTGAGTATTGTGACTGAGACTCTGTGGCCACCTACATAGTTTCCTGTGGACAGCCATAACAGATCGCTAGAGGCCTGGTAGCTTCAGTAACAAAAATGGATTCTCTGACAGCTCTAGAAGGCAGAAATCCAAAATCAAGGTCTCTGTGATGCCACACTTCCTCGGAGGACCTCAGGGAAGAATCAATTTTTACCTCACCCAGCCTCTGGTGACAGCGGCATTCTTTAATTAATTCTTTAATTAATGACTACACCAGTGTGACCTTTCTGTATGAATGTTCTCTGTATGAATAAGTCATGGTCACATTGCTTCCTTCTCTTCTGTCTGCTTCTCTGTGTGTCTTTTTTAAGGACACTTGTTATCGAGTTCAGGCCCCACCCAAATATTTCAGGATGATTTCCTTACCTCAAAATGCTTACTAACATCTGTAAGGACCCCTTCTTTAGAAGTAACATTCACAAGTTCCTAGTTTTAGAACATGAACATGTCTTTCTAGGAGTCACATCAGTCCACTAAATGTACAAAGCCTGAAACATTTATTGTTTTTCTCATTACAGAAGTTTTCCAATGGTGTTCTACGGGGAAATGAGAAGACCTTGTAGCTGGGTGTGATGGTCCATGCTTGTAATGCTAGCACTTGAGAGGCTGAGGCAAGAGGACTACCATTAGTTCAAGGCCTGCCTGGGCTATATAGTGAGTTCAAGACTGGAATGAATTACCTAGTGAAACTCCATTTCAAGAAAAGAATAAGAAGAGGAAGAGGAAGAAGAAGAAGAAGAAAACAAGAAGAAGAAGAAGAAGAAGAAGAAGACCTTGTAATTCAGTCAGAGATGGGAAATTGAAAACATATTCCTAAAGCAATCCAAGTATTTATTGATGGCTGAGTTCAACATAGTCAGTCTTGAGGGCTATTGCAGGCATATGAGAGTAAAAGAAAAAGGGAAAATTCCTCCCACAGAAGAAATTGCCGCATGTGCAAACAGAGAAATGAAGCAGTGTGCTATGTAGATAAATATTTATACTTTATTATAGCTATTATCTCAAGTACAGATGGCAAAAATCAGATGATGAATTTGTATGGGCCAAACCAAAACTTTGGTTTCCATCCCACATACCACAGGGCACAATGATGAATTTTAAGATGGGAAGAAAGGGATGATGCATGTAGTTTACAATGATCAACTGGGACCTATCCAATTGCAGGGAAGAGCAAGACTTCAGCCAGGAGAAAAAAAAAGATATTATAGGATTCTAAAAGTTGTAGTGAGAAACTGAATTGAAGTGGTACCAGTACAGAGAGAGCAGATACAGAACTTAAGTGTAATTTAGGAGGCAGAATCAATGTGACATAGATATATATTCCTTATGGAGGTGGGAGGAATTGGAGAAATAAGATAACTCCATTGTTTCTTAGTTGGGAAAGTTAGCAGATATTTGTGTTGAGTATGGTAATACAAGATACAGCAACCAAAAAAAAAAAAAAAATGCTTGAGGAGAAAAATGGAGAGTT